ATTCTTCTATGTGCCAATAACAAGAAATCAAGGATTGTCAGTAAATATCTTATCAGTCTAGAGTTCAAGCTGTCATATAGAGAGAGGCACTCAAGTGTAGAGTGGTAACAGTTCAGTGTCGCACATGCTCAGTGGTGGGATTCAGCCAGTTTGTACCAGTTCGCCAGAACCCGTAACTAATTTTTTGTTGCCCAGGCCCAGAATGGACTTCCGGAAGTGGCATCCACACAGAGAACCAGTTATTCACATATTTGAATCCCACCACTGCATATGCTCATATCCTGATCCTAAAATATTTGTGGAAACTGGCAGGAAAAGTGTACCTTCCCTCTTGTTAGGCTGGTGTGTAAGATACCAGTTAGGCTGATGTGTAAGAGCTGATGTAGTTCCCATTTTTGTCTACATATTGAGTACTTACCCAGGACCTGGGATAGGCAGATGTGGATGTTTGATGGTATTACAGATATCGTCGCAGGATGGAAGCAGTTCCCAGTAAGGCCGCCTTTTGCAATTGACTAATAGCGAATTTGTCAATGCCAATGGTGTTCAAGTGGTGCTCCAGTTGTTTTGGGATTGCACCCAAGGCGTCTATTACTATTGGTACTACCCTTGCTTGCTTTTGCCACAGTCTTTCTATTTCTATTTGTAGGTCTTTGTATTTTGTTATCTTCTCCAGTTCTTTCTCGTCTATTCTGCTGTCTCCAGGCACTGCCACGTGCACTATCCAGACTTTTTTGTCTTTCTTATCGACATCATCATCATCATCATCATCATCGTCATCATCATCATCATCATATTATTATTATTATTATTATTATTAATTTCTTGGCCTTGGCCCTGCTAAGTCAGGTATCTCTAACCCTAACCCTAATCCTCTGCCTACTGATATTTCCTTTCAATTTTATTCCAGGAACCAGACATATAGTTTCTATGGGGGAAAGTCTGCAAATTGCCCTTCAGCTTTATATGGAGGTTTATTTTTTCAATTTAGTGCAAAAATATCCATAATTTAAGACAATTTTCCTGACCATAAAGGATGCTTATTCCCTGAAGTGGGCTGTGAGAATAACTTTCAGAGAATGGAGGAAGAGCCACACCCTGAACAACAATCAGACAAAACATATCTCAATCCGCAGAAGGATAAGGTAAAGCTTTCCCTGCCCAGTCACGTCCGACTCTAGGGCCCAGCGCTCTGTTTCTTGGCCGAGGGAGCCAACATTGACCGAAGGCACTTTCTGTGATCATGTGACTGGTGTGACTATACATCAAAGGTGCATGGAATGCTATTACCTTCCCACCAAAGTAGTACCTATTAATCTACTCACATCTGTATGCTTTTGAAGTGCTAGGTGGGCAGGAATGGGAGCTGATCCTGTTGTGTGGTACTCCACAAGTCTGAAACCTGGGCTGCCAGCTTTCCAGCTGACAAGCTCAGCTTTTTTAACCGCTGAGTCATTGCACCCTCACAGAAGGATTGGTACGGAAAATGCCTTAGAAGGGACTTTCTCTAGTTCTCTGGAAAGTAAAGACAACGGAGGGGAGAAGTGCTTTTAGCCTTGCAGGATTCTGTAACTGCAACCTTACAATAAAGATAGTACTTGTGGTTATGGTTTCTTGTATGTATCTCAAAGGACTGACATTTCCCTATGAGCAAAGTTGGTGAGCAGTTTTCAAGTGCCCTTCCTAACAACCAGTCCTCCAGCCCAATTTCAACTAACTCCCTGAAACTGAGCAAAGAAATCAAGAATTCATACATCAGGCAAGATACAGTCAAGATACATTCTAAGACAGGGGTTTCATTTATACAGAATTCATACATCAGGCAAGATACAGTCAAGATACATTCTAAGACAGGGGTGTCAAACTCAATTTCATTGAGGGCCGCATCAGCATTGCGGTTGCCCTCAGGGGGCCAGGTGGGTGTGGCCAGGGTGGCTGCAGCCTACTGGGTGGGTGTGGACAGAGTGGGTGTGGCCTACTGGGTGGGCATGGCCAGCTCTACATCGTTCGCGTCAAGGGGGCCTGTGGGGGCCTGGGCAGGAGTGGGACAGATCTGAGGGTCTCGGGCAGAAGTGGGTGGGACCGGGGTAAGTGCCAAGGCATGGTCCATTTCTTCATTCCTCACAAAGGGTGACACTTCCCCAGCATGCACCCAGGGGGTGGGGCCGATGTGGCAAGGGCTGGTTCTTTGCTGTTTCTAGACAGCCTTGTGGAGCTAAGACTGAATGCGTTTCAGCATAGATGGCCACCACAAAATTGTACATTGGCTCCTGGCTGGCCTGGGCCAGGGCCAAGGCAGCAGGGGCCGTTCTCTCACTGTTTCCAGGATGGCTTCGCGGGCCACATGAAACCACTTCATGGGCCGCATCCGGCCCCTGGGCCTTGTGTTTGACATGTCTGTTCTAAGACTTGAAAATAATAGGGATCAATATACAGTACTACTGGACAAAAAAAGAGCTGGCACCATGTTAGAGTGAGATAGTGCAGACATTTCCTAAGATCCCTACAATATTTGAAGAGGTCTGCTCAGTTGTATCACTTTGTCATTAGCAAAAAATAACACAATTTTCTTCCTGTTTTTTTTCTTCTACAAAATCAGCCAGCTATGGCTAGACCTTTCTTTCTAGCAGGTTACAACAAAGAATACTGTGGTGTTTAAATTCTGAAGATGCAACTTTCAGCATATAATCAGAAATGTGTGACTGGAATAAGCCTTTGTCAGGTAACTAGGAGAGAAGTACTTTGCAACATGGAGAGGCATCAACTGTGATAATGCCACCAAATGACCAACATCTGATACAAGTATCTAAATTGTGGTATTTACCTAATCAGTTCATCATTTGCCCCAAAGAACAAGACATCAATCTCAGGTACATTGACAGTGAAATGGACACCCATTTTGTTTTTATAGTTGCTTTTACATTTATTTTAATTTAATAGAAACAAACCCCAATTTACAATACAATAAGTTAGAATTAAAATTTTACAATCCTGCTCATGTAAGTTCTTTGAAAAGAAATATGACATGTAGGAATCATGGCACTGATTTTCCTTCCGTTAGTGCAGATAAAAAATTAGTGCTGAGTTTGCCCAGAGCAATGCAAAGATTTCCTTCTACTCAGGTCTCTTTGAAGATATCACTTCTGTAATAAAACTGTACCAGTTTTCATATCTCAGATATCTGCTATATTTTTGTTTGCACCTATGCATGCACGCACAAACACACTTGTTGTACTTTTACTCTTTCTATCATTCATAGTCCTAGAGTTAAGGGGAAAAAAAGATTTATAGTATTTCTGTGAATTGATTACTATCCAAGCACCAGCATTCCTGAATAAAAACCCAAAGCTTAACTTTAATTGCAGCTGCTGTAGTGAAATTTGGAAGTCATTTCTTTAATTATTTTTTCTCCCTTTCTTTTAACTCCATTGTTTCCTGAAAAAGATAACGAGAGGTATAGTGCCAATTAAATGAGATTTAGCTATATTTCCTTTTCTTATGTCATGCCTTTTACCTTATGGAATCATATTGTTGGAAATGATTTTAAAGATCTAATCTCATCTTTCTCTTCTCTGAAATAACTCCAATTTTGGGCTGTTCTTTCATTATCAGATGCAAAAACCTGTTCCCCTTCAGAACAATGGATGCTTCCCATTTTCTCTGTCATTTTGACTTCAGACCCATAGTTAATTATTGCAATAATTATACAGTAAGTTAAGTGAAGAAAGACAAAATGTTTTCTAAAGAATTATTAAACAATGCAGTAGTCAGAAATTGAGCCATCATTTAAACTGATGGATGACCAAGATAGTAAGTAAATCAGCATACTGTCATATCAAATTGGCAATTGGCATCCATAAGCCAATGCATTATTAGAGAGAGAAATGTGCATCCTGCAGGGAACACTGTAGCAACACGGTGGAAGAAAAGGGTAACTGCTGTCTAGTTTATCACGGCACTGAGCAGCAGAAATTTAGATTTGAGATTTTCCCCATAATTATGAGAACTAGGAATCAGCTTTACAAACATTTTAAATACCAAAGCTATCTATCTATCTATCTATCTATCTATCTATCTATCTATCTATCTATCTATCTATCTATCTATGTACATACATACATACATACATACATACATACATACATACACGGCACCTTTTTTGGACGGAACCTTGTAGGGTAGGCAAGGCAGGTTGCATGATGTGTGTGAGTTCCGGCACCTTTTTTTTTTTTTTTTTAGAAAAAAAGCACTGTATATATCTGAAAAACCCTATGAGTATCAGTAAAAAAATACAAATATTTCATTTCTTCATAATTTTTGAAAAAGTCACACCTTTATGAATATTAGTGCAAACATGTTTGAAGGAGGCATTAAATAGGAAAAAGTGTGTTTAAAAGAATTTAAAAGAATTCAGTCTTCAAAGCCTCATATATAAATTGGTGCAAAAGAGTAAGGGAAACTTTCAGAACTATTAAAAATAGGCAGAAAGGAAAGGATAATGGGTTTTATAAAGTAATTCGTATGAAAACCAAGAAACAGGCAGGGTGTTGTCATGTGCAATTCTTAACACCAGAATCCTTCCATCTCCTGCCTCCTTCCCATGTACAATTTTGATTTGTTTGAATGATTTTGAGTAGCTCTTTCAAAGATTTTTTCCCAAAGTATTTACTTTATTATTTATTTATTGTTGACAATTGCTCAAAAATAGAAATGACTGTGCAGTCAGAAGGCACTGGCTTACTATGAAACTTATTTATTTCTTAAATATTCAAGTTGACCTGTTTAGAAAAAGATGGAGGGGGTGGCAAGGGGTGCATCAGCCTCAGGGTGAAGCTCTGCTGTTAAAATCATTCAGTTGGTATGATTCTTCCCAGGGAGGAAGAAAGATCTAGCAGTTGCTGATGCTCAGTCTCAGTTTTTAAGTCCCATTCCAGAACATCACAGCCAATAAAAACATCATTAGAACTTCTTGGTTTTATTTTATTACTGACTGTACTCACAGTTTTGTTTTTGCTCTTTGTTGCTAAATATTCAGCAATTTTAGGCTGCTTTGATGGTTTTGAAGGAGTCACCAATTCTGAGTTTATTCTGTATCGCTCCATTTTCTTGCTGTCTCTTGATTGCTTTCATAGTGGTACACAGAAGAGCTTGTGTAATAAATAAAGCAGTCCACAACTATTTAAAATTCCACAGTAGATTAGAACTTGAGATGAATAAAAAATAAAAATAGTTGAAAAGCAAAATAAAACAAATTACAATTCAGCAAAATTGATAAAAGGAGTTAATGCATGAACTGGACTGAAGAGAGTCTGCAGAGGTATTTTCATGTTGTCACTTTCCATCCTTGGAAAATCAAACCTGACTCCTTTCAAGATTCAAGATTAGAAGCTTCTGAAACAAAGAACAGCAAGTAGAAATCCTTTAATCTGGTTCTCATGTAACTAAATTTAAATCATGAAATACATGGCTATACTTGGCTACACTAATATACTTACCTCAGAGCTACAGGGAATGGATTGAAAGAAATTTGTTCCCACAAGATGACGTTTCTACTGTTTTCAAAATTGAATTCAATTAAACTAAATTAATTTTTATTATTTTTTTATTGTTTAATTCCCTAAATTTTAATATTTAAAAAAATAAAAGAAAAAGGGATCCAGCGATTAAAATTAGACCAATTTATTAACAAAAATAAAAAACAATACATTTTTTTTAAAAAAATGAACTTTTGTAATTTAACATTTAAATTTTTTTTAAAAAATCTAAATCTTTAAAGTTTTTAAAATTTTAAAAGAAAGAAGGGACCCAAAGTGAGCAAATGAAAATTTACAACTTTTCTATACCATTTCACAATTACTAAGAGCTGAGAGGGTTTTTTCTCCTTTTATTCCTTTTGCTTCTTCCCTCTGTGGATTACAAACTATATCTTGAAGGCAATTTGATTTGCTTTTGATATGTTACATTTAACGTTCACTTCAACATTAGAGATTGTAAAATGTTAACATTGAAGTATTTTTTCAAGAGTAACCAAATTTGGGAGCAAAATAAATGTTTTAAAGCTAAAAGATGCAGTATTGAAAAAAATGTTTTAAAAAATAAAATCCTGCATTAAACCAAATTTTAAAAGAAGGAAGGCACCCTGCATCTACTCAGAGCATTGGCAAGAGTATTTATAAGAAGAAAAACATAGTCATGAGGGAAAAAACGCTGTTGTGGTTTGCCAAATATGTGCCATGTGTGTTCATGCCTAGAGAAGACCCAAATTATATCTGTACTAAATGTAAACTAAATGAATGACTTGAAGAAAAAGTTAAGGGTCTATAGACTAGCCACTCTGAGACTCAAACAACAAAATGAGAAACTAAAGGAAGAAGATTGTAACCAAACTGAACACAGTAAGGAACAACTAATTTTCAAAAAGAAAAAAAGAACCCTGGAGATAGACCAATGGCAATATGACACTCACAAGAAAAAATAAAATAAATAATAATGTCCATGCAGTCCAACCCAGGTCAGGCTAGTCCCATTGGAGCTAAGCAATCAATTTTATATCCTCCTCTTGTAACAAAGTGTGCAGACATCTGAAGAAAAACATCATGAACTGTACAGTGACAGGAATAAAAGTAGACAAGACTTCCCCAAGAAAAAATAGCCATGTAAATCTTTTGAAGTTCTCAAAGCACTAAGGAACTACCAGAGGACTGGAAAAGAGCTGATGTGGTTCCAATTTCAAAGGGGGTGGGGGAAATGGATTCAGGAAAATACAGACCAATCAGCCTGACCTCAATACCTGGGAAAATCCTTGAAAAGATAATCAAGCAATGGATTTGCACCTAGAAACAAATAAAGCTATTACTAAAAGCCAACATGGGTTTGTTAAAAACAGATCATGCCAGACAAATCTAACTGCATTCTTTGATAAAGTGACTAAATTAGTGGATGAGTGAAATGCTGTGGACATAGTATATTTAGACTTCAGCAAGGCATTTGACAAAGTAGACCACAGCCTACTTCTTGATAAGATAGAAAAATGTGGTATAGACAACATCACTACCAGATGGATTTGTAGATGGTTGACCAACCGCACTCAGTGTATAGCCCTCAATGAAACTACAACTACATGAAGGGAAGCATGCAGTGAAGTTCTCCAAGCTTCTGTTTAAGGGCCAGCATTCTTCAACATGATTTGAATGAGGGGATAGAAGAAGAACTCATCAAATTTGCAGACAACATGAAACTGGCAGGAACAGGCAATACCCCATAAGATAGGCTCAAGATCCAGAAATATCTTGACAGATTTAAACACTGGGGCCTATCCAACAAAATGCAATTCAGTGGCAAGAAAAGTAAAGTTTTACACTTAGGCAAGAAAGAGCAAATGCACAGGTATAGAATAGCACGTGGCTCAACAGTAGCAACTATGAAAGGGATCTAGGAGTCTTAGTGGACAACCACTTAAGTATGAATTAGCATTGTGCTGCAACTGCCAGTAAAGCCAGTGCAGTCCTAGGATGCATTAACAAAGGAACAGTATCATAATCACTTGAAGTGTTAGTACCAGAATATACTGCCTTGGTGAGCCCACACTTGGAATAATGTATCCAGTTCTGATCGCCACAATACAAAAAAAAAAGACATTGAGACTCTAGAAAGAGTGCAGAGAAAAGCAACAAAGAGAATTAGGGATCTGGAAGCCAAAACATATCATGAATAGTTGTAGTAACTGAGAATCTCTAGTCTAACAAAGAGAAGGACTGGGGTGACATGATAGGCAGCAGCTGGGGGCAGCGGCTGGGGCCAGTGCAGAGGTGGCAACAGGGAGCCATTGACCGGCGAGGCGTCTGGGAACAGCGCAGAGGCGGCAGGCAGTGGCAGCGGCAGATTGGGAGGCCTACAGGCAGCAGCGAGGCAGCATGGCAGAGACAACAGAGCAGTGGAGGACCCAACCAGCAGCTCAAGAGAACCAGCCTGAACATCGGAGACAGAGCAATGGCCGGAGACGGAGCGATGGGATGACTGAGTGATGGATGGCGGCAGTTGGTGGCAAGGCCCAGTGGAGAAAACTTGGCTACTAAACCTGCTCATCAAAAATGGCTGGAGGCAACTGGGGGTAGCTAGAAAGACTGGCTGAGCACAGAAAAGCAGTCAAAAACCAAGACAGAGAGGATAGAGAAACATAAGGAGCAAATTAAGAAAAGGAAGGATAGTGAAGAATCTTTAGGCAGAGAGCAGAAAGCTAAAAGCAAATTCCCTGTGGAGGAGAAAGCAGCTCTTCCCTTCATTAAATAGCCCTATTCCAGTGATGGCGAACCTTTTAGAGACCGAGTGCCCAAACTGCAAAACAAAACCCAATTATTTATTGCCGGGTGCCAGGAGGGCATGGCCCACTGGGTAGGTGTGGCTATGGTGGTCATGGCAAACTGGGTGGGTGTGGCCAAGGTGGGTATGGTCACCTCGATGTTGCTCATGGGAAGGGATGCCTGTGGGGGATGGGAAAGGTTGGGGGAGATCCAGGGGGTCTCTGGCAGCTGGGGCAGTGGGCAGGAGGCTCATCCTGTGGGGTGAGGCAAGGCAGAGCAGGGGTGCCATTGCTGCCTGACACCATTGGCCCCCGCACACAGAGGCCAGCAAGTGCATGGGGGCCAACAGTGTCCGTCAGCAACCACAGCCTGCTGGCCCCTCAACCGGCGCACTCTGGGCCTCCGCAGCCCACCACCAGCAGTTCAGAGAAGCCGCCTCTGAGCTGGATGGCCGGCCAACAGCTGAGGAGGTGATGCAGTGGGTCGTGCCCGGGAAAAGGAGAGCATGCGAGGCCAGGAGGGACAGGACAGGGGAGAAGGAAACCAGCCATGCTGGGATGCATCCGGCCACGTGGGACCTCGGTGAGTTAGCGAGCGGCTGGTTGAAGAGGGACGGTTGCCATCTCCAGGGCATGGCGCGCATGCCCACAGAGAGGGCTCTGAGTGCTGCCTCTGGCACACGTGCCATAGGTTCACCACCACTGCCCTATTCCAACACTAACTCTTAACTTCAACATAAACTGCATTTTTTTTCCCTTTAAAACCAAAGAACATACCACCACATACTTATCTAAGCCAAAATAGCAAGGCAGAAAAACAAGCACAAACAGACAGACAAAAGGACAGAAAAAATAGGCATAATTACCCAGAATAGAGAAGCTAGAAACAAGGCTAACAGCAAAGCACATCCACCAACCAAAAAGAGGGATTTTCAATCAACATATTCATGGAACAGATGACTGACACTATTGTGGTATGCAATACATGTTCCATGTATGTGCTCATGCCCAAAGAATACCCAAATTACACATGCATTAGATGCAAACTATGTGAACTGCTACAGGAAAAAGTAAGGAACTTAGAGGCAACTATAGCCAAACCCCAACATAAAAAGAAAGCTCTACCCATACAGAACCAATTAACAAACAAATAACTCTCAGAGGATTTGACCCTACTGATAAACTCTTGGAGAAAGACAAATGGAGGTATGTCACACATAGAAGGAAACACAGTACTCAAAGAAAGAAGCAGCATACAGCTAACAAACCCCTTCTGCCCAATTCAACCCAACCAGAAACAGCCCCACTAAAACTGAGCAATCAATTTCTCCCTCTAGATGGAAACACGCAGACCGATAACCTTCCCCTCAAAAAAAAACATGCAGACACCTAGCAAGGAAACAACTTCAAATATCCCTAAAAACGTCACTTCAAGCATTCCTTAAAAAGTCACATCAACAAACACACCAGAGATAAACAGAAAAGCACCGCAGACTGCAGCCCCCCCCCCAAAAAAAGAAGGTGAGTATTGGTAATAGGAGATTCTATCCTCAAAGGAACAGAATCATCCATCTGCAGACCTGACATACAATCCAGGGAAGTATGTGTTCTCCCTGGTGCAAAAATCAAAGATGTGGCTGAGAATTCTAACCAAAATAATTAGGCCTACAGATTACTACCCCTTCCTCCTCCTTCATATTGGGATGAATGACACAACAAAGAACCTGAGTACAATAGTGAGAGACTACAAACAATTAGGCAATAAAGTTAAAAAGCTAGGAGCACAAGTAGTGTTCTGATCAGTACTTCCAATGAAAGGCCAACACCCAATGAGGGGGAAAAAATCTAGAAATAAACCAATGGCTAAATTAGGGCTTTTCAACCAGTGATACATGTACCACCAGTGGTACTTTGGCACCTGGCAAGTGGTACACAACCATCCTATAGAAGTGGTATTGGGGGGGAGGAATAAGTTGAAGCGGTGGCAGCACCACACAAACCTGAGGGATAGACAGCTGGAGCTGCAAGGCTGTCAGGGCTTGGCAGAAGCCCCAGGATCAGCACCGGTCTCCAGCTGATTGGCGCTTTGGAAGGTGGTGGTGCCCTGAAGAGAAAAGGAGGAGGAGGGGGAAGAGAGGAGAGGATATAAAAGGAGGTTTTGGTGGGAAAGAGCCATCCCGTCCCACCTCCTGGGCACACAAAGAGGAGGTGGCGAGTGCCTGGCATCCCTGCTGACCGTTCTGCTGCCCACTGAGAAAGAAAAAAGGAAGAGAAGCACTTCCCTTTCCCCAAGGATGCCAGCGCTCATGCGCTCGCCGCCTTCTCTGTGCACCTCCAGGCAGAGACGGCGGGGGGCCTCACTGGCTCTAGGGCTGCCTCGTGGGTCTAAGGCTGAGCGTGTTCCAGCTTTGATGGCCTCCACCAGTAGATCAGTGCCACACCCGCTCGCTGACCTAGCCTCGCAGCCAGCAGACTTCCCTTTCCCTGCCTGTGTGGGATAGCAACAGCCAGGGGCAGCATGGCCACTGGCAGCGCTGGCAATCTCTCCCCCTCCCGTTATCCCTTCCTGAGCATGGAGGAAGGAAAGAGAAGCAGGGGAGGGAGGGAGGGAGGGAGGGAGGGAGGGAGGGAAGGAAGGAAGGAAGGAAGGAAGGAAGGAAGGAAGGAAGGAAGGAAGGAAGTAAGTAAGTAAGTAAGTAAGTAAGTTGCTGGGAAAGGGACTGCCTTCTGAGCGCTTCTCAGGTTTACTTTTTTTAGCTGCTTTACATTTTGACTGCCTGTATTTTATCACTTTGTTCCTTTTTTTTTTTTTGGTGAACAAGTTTTTGACACCTTGCTAGGCAACTGGTGGTAGTCGAATATTGCCTTATCCTAATAGTGGTATAATTGGTGAGAAGGTTGACAAGCCCTATATCCTAGCACATGAAATTGATCAGTCTAGGAGTGAATGGTGAGATCCAGCAACTCAAGCAGAGACATGTATCAGCTCCACTAGGTAAACCAGTTTGGAAAATCAGCTCTGCAAGAAAACTAGGACTACTATTATTGATATTGGCTTTAATAACAGAATCTTACAGATCTGTTGGTGCTGTATCTCCCAACCTTTTTACATGCCAATGATCAGTGAGGTATGTGCCTGAGTCATTTCTGAATATTATCTTGCTTCTGGGAACTTAAATACTATTTCAGCCCTCTTTGACTAGGTAACAGTTCTTGTATTTTTCTGTCAAAGTTGTTTTTCTTATTCTCTACATATAGTTCACCACCAGAAGTATCATAAATGCAACATGACACTTAAGCCCAACCTCACAAGTAAGAGCTTACATCTGGTTTTCTGCAGGAATAATATGTGTTAACACGAACACCTTTTTACACATCAATATTTTGGCTCTGTTTGATAAATTGCTACATAAAGATAAATGTATTTTAATTTATTAAATTTATTTGCCACCCATTCATTTTGAAGCAATTGCAGGGGCTTACATTAAAATCATAAAAGATAAATAGTTCTAAAACAATAAAAATGGAAATTAAAATGGGAAATTCCTCCCCACTGTGTCCTACTATTTGCTTTTGTATATTATTATTTTATTCTATAATCTAATAAAATATTACAAACTGTAGAAAAAAATAAAAAAATACCAGTTTTAATTTCTTCAGTAGCTGTTCCTTTGCTGAATCACTTTGCACTGACAAATGTATGATGGATTTATCCATGTTTATTAATATAAACCACTACCAGCTAGTTCAGGGGTCTTCAAACTTGGCACTTTTAAGACCTGTGGACTTCAACTTCCAGAATTCCTCAGCCCTCATGGCTGGTTGAGGAATTCTGGGAGTTGAAGTCCACAGGTCTTAAAGTTGCTAAGTTTGTAGATTCCTGAGCTAGTTAGTTGGCCCTTCTGAGCTCTTCAACAATGTAGTAAGAATGCGCACACACCCCAATCCCTTCCCTGTATCCTTAAAGACACAAGAATCAAGTGCAAAGCAAGAAAATAAAGAAACACAAACTCCGTTTTTCTCTCTCTTAATTTAAGCTGCCTCAGGCATGTCACATGTCACAATGTTGCAATTCTAGACTGAAAGACTCCGGCAATTGCAAAAAGCTTTACCTTTACGTTAAGCCAGTTTACCTTCAAAGAAAACTTTTTAAAAGCCACAGACAGACTCAATTAAGGGGGGTAAAACTAATTACATTTGTTTAAAGGGATTAAACCTTTCCTGTTTTCTTTTTTCCCTTCCCCCACCCTAACCACGTTCTTTTATAGCCTCTCCTCTCCTCCCCCTCCCTTTTTTCTTCAGTTTATCTTCAGCTCAGAGCTGCTTTTGGAAGCACCAATCAGCTGGAGCCAATCAGCTGGAGCTCTGCTGGCTCCTGGGGCTTCTGCCAAGCCCAGACATTTCTGCAGCTGCAGCTACCTCTCCCTCAGACTTGGCTCACTTCGGCTCATTTCCCTCCCCTGCTACACTTGGCTAGCAATCGCCGTAACACCTGGCATGTGGCAAAGTACCACAAGTGGTACGCATACCACTGGTTGAAAAGCCCTGGGCTAGGAGACTTGAACTTATGCTGGGGTAGAGGCATGATGTGAAGCCACTGTTATACCTGGTTATAGTCTTTAAACAGATGAGATCCAAAAGTGAGCATCACTGATGTCAGTCTTTGTTAGATAATTATCTGCAACCTATACAGGGATCCACTGAGTTAATCTGCCTCAGATATCTTATGGATTTGCTCAATTTCTAGAGGATGCTTGAGTTTCCCAAGGATTTGATGGGCAGTTGTGTTGATCTCCTATTTGAGTAGTCTTTCCCTGTACAGGTAGTCCTTGCTAAGCAACTAGCAATTTGGTTAATTAAAGCAATCACTAAGTGAAACCACAACTATGCTTATGATCTTACTTTAGTGGTCTGCAAAAGTTGTAAATGTGAGAATTGTTCACAAAGTTATTTTTTCATCACCTGATACAGTCACTAAACAAGGACCACGTGTACAGCAACTGCTTGATGGGGAACTGCCTTGGTATACTCAAGAGTTCTTGAAGATGAAGATTCTGTAGCAATGCTGATGGACAATAATGGGTGAATATGACCAAATATGGGCACAACTAAGGCTCAACCTTACACAGTGAAAATCAGAGCTCGTTTATGTGAGATTACTACCTGGTAGCCTTCTCAAAGATGACCTGATTCTTTTAGGAAAAGATGGAACAGAAGATTGGTTATTCTGATAAAGTTGCAAAACCTCTAAAGGATAAAATCCTTTACATTCACTTGGGGCAGGATATTGACTGGGCAAGTCCAATACTGATGCAGAGGCAAAGTCTTGTGGGATTATGAGGGATCAGTCTGAACACATTGACTATGAAGCCAAAAAGGTTCACTTTGACACCTGTGGAAATGACAAGGTTGCCTGGGAAAAGTGGTTCATAGATTCTTGGGAAACAGAGCGATACATCATCCTTGAAGAAGACACAGATTTCTCCCTCTTCTCAAAAAAAAGATATTACAGATAATCCTCACTTAATGACTAGTTCCTTAGTGACCAGTCAAAGTTAAAACAGGTTTCCCCCCCAAAAAAAATGACCCAATTTCAATTTACTGAGGGTCACACCTCCCCTGTGATCATGTGATCACATTTTGAGCACTTAACAACTTTATAGCCATTTGCAGCATCTTGCAATTGCACGTCTATGATTTTTGTCATTTTTTTTACTGTTTTCCAGTGTATACTTCCAATTTCCAGCAAAAAAACACTTATAGGATAAAATGGATTTGCTTAATGATCACCACCAAAAAGGTCTTAAAATCAGGCATGATTACATTGGTAACCTGCTTAATGACCACAACTTATCACCGTAATTTTGAGCTCAATTACAGTTGTAAGTCAAAAAAATACTTGTACTTGAGCCATTTATTTTGGATCCTGGTCTCTCTCCAATCTTTCATTTTTAGGGGAGGTTGTTCAAACAGTGCTGTGCAGTTTGATTAATTAAGATTCAATCATTTTAGAAGATGCTTAGAACCCTCCAATACACTAACAAATGAAAGTAAAAAAGCAAACATTTCAAAAGAAACTCGAAAGCATATTTATGCAAGGGGAGGTTATTATACAAATGCAACAAAAGATACAATCTTATTACCTTCCTTATAATTTCCTCTTAGATTCTTTACTCCAGATTATGATTCATTAAGATTCTTTCTTTCTTTCCTTTTTTCCAGATATTTCTCTAATAGAAAACAAAAGGAGCCAATTTAGAATAAACCATTAAATAGCATTTATTAAAGAGACTCCTGATGATAAAATACAGTAAATTCATGTATTTCAAAAATTAATACAGTATATTTCAATTGTAATGTCTCACACACTCAACTCAAGTCATAAACACAGGGTTGGGGCCAGCCTAACGTTTGGAGAATGATGTCCCCAAAAGCAGGCGCTGCTGCAGAAAAGGCTCTCCTGTGTCCTGTCAGATGACATTCCTTAGTGGATGGGAGCCATAACATGCCTCTCCTGCAAGACCTAATGGGTAGATATAACTGGGGAGAGACAGTCACCCCCAGCCCATGTATGGCTTTATAGGGTATTGCCAACACCTTAAGTGAACTCAAAAACAAACTGGCAGTCAGTGCAGCTCACAAAGCAGGGATGTAATGTGTACTGATCGAGGATTGCACACAACTGTCCCTGCCACTACATTTTGCACCGGTTGTAGCTTCTGGATGCTCTTAAAGATCAGCCCCATATGGCATGCATTTCAATAATCTATTCTGGAGGTGAACAGGGCATGAGTGAATTAGAACCTCTTGATCTAGGAATGGGTGTAACTGACACCCATTTATGACACTCATAAAGTCAAGGAAATAATTAGTTCACTAATGGAAGAAGATGGCAAGGAGGTGATGGGCAGCAAGGAGAAAGTTGAGCTGCTTAGTTCATTCTTTGCATTTGTCTTCACACAAAAAGAAAAAGTAACTCAACCTGCCAAAAACAGAACTGTAAAAGACAGATTAGGAATACAGCTTAAAATAGGCAAGGGAATGGTAAGAGAACACCTGTCCACTCTAGATGAGTTCAAAGCATCAGGATCTGACAGATTATATCCCAGAGTTCTGCAGGAGCTGGCAGACATGATCTTGAAACCATTAAACCCTATTTTTCAAAGATAAAGCACTGGGGAACTACCAGAGGACTGGAAAAGAGCTGATGTGATTCCCATCTTCAAAACGGGGGGGGAGGGGGGGAAGGATCCAGGAAACTACAAACCAATCAGCCCGATGTCAATAACTGGGAAGATCTTGGAAAACATAATCAAGCAACAGATCTGTAAACACCTAGAAGCAAACAAAGTTATAAGCTACAACTAGAAGCCAAGAGATCATGCCAATCAAATCTTATTTCAATCTTTGACTAAGTAACTAAATTAGTGGACCAGCAAAATGCATTCGCATTGAGTAAGGCATTTGGCAAAGTAGACTTCTTGGTAAGCTAGAAAAATATGGGACAAACAGTATCACTACCAGATGGATTTGTAATTGGCTGACAAACCACACTCAAAATGTAGTCTTTAAGGTAACTACATTTTCATAGAGGGAAGTAGTAGTGGAGTACCCCAAGGTTCTGTCTTTGGCCCAATACTCTTCAATATCTTCATAATTGATTTAGAGGGAATAGAAGAGGAACTCATCAAATTTGCAGACAACACCAAGCTAGAAGGAATATCCCAGAAGATAAGCTCAAGTTCCAAAAGGATCTTGAATACTGAGCCCAGTGTAATAAAATGAAATTCAATGGAGAGAAAAGTAATTTTTTACATGTAGGCAAGAAAAACCTACAGGTATAGAATTGGTGGAACCTGGCAACTGCGAGAGAGATCTTGGAATCCTAGTGGTAAAAGGTTTCACCTATCCAATCATGTCCGACTCTAGGGCATGGTGCTCATATCCATTTCTTGGCCAAGAGAGACAGAATTGTCCAGAGACATTTTCATACTCATGAGGCCAGCATGGCTACATGCCAAAGGAACATGGAACACTGTTACCTTCCCACCGAAGTGGTACCTAGTAATCTACTTGCATTTGCATGCTTTTGAACTGCTAGCTGGGCAGGAACAGGAGCTCATCTCATTGCATGGTGCACTGGTCTTGAACCCAGACTATCAGCTTACCAACTGATAAGCTTAGTGCCATTAACCACTGAACCATAGAAAATCACTTAAATATGAGGCAGTGGTATGCTGCAGCTGCCAAAAAAGCCAACACAATCCTAAGCTGCATTAACAGAGGGATAGAATCAAAATCATATGAAATGTTAGTATTGTTTTATAATGCCTTGGTAAGACTACACTTAGAATACTACATACAGTTTTGGTCACCACAAAATAAAAAAAGATGTTGAAAGTCTGGAAAGAGTTCAGAGAAGAGCAACAAAGATGATTATGGGGCTAGAGGCTAAAACATATGAAGAATGATTACAAGAATTGGGTATGTCTAGTCTAGTGAAAAGAAGGAGATGATTGAGCCCTTAAAGCAGTGGTTCTCAACCTGTGGGTCGGGACCCCATTTGGGGTCAAATGACCATTTCATGGGGGTCACCAAACCACGCTGTCCGCCATTTTTTCCCTTTTCCCTAGCTGTCCTACTCCCTCTTATTGGTGGCCACACCCACTTGGGGGTCACCACAACATGGGGAACTGTATTATGGGGTCACGGCATTAGAAAGGTTGAGAACCACTGCCTTAAAGGAACTTTTTAATAGTATCTTATCAGGTTTGGAGGTACCTCCATCTTGGAGAAGGGCTTTTATATCTTTGATTCCAAAAGAGGATCAAGATCTTACTCTACTTAAGAATTATAGACCTATATCTCTTTTGAATACAGATTATAAAAATTTTTCAAAGATTTTGGTGAATAGACTCATGGTTGTATTGAGTCAAATTATACACACAGACCAGACTGGTTTTATAACTGGGAGGTACATGAAGAATAATGTTAGACAAATTATTAACTTAATTGAATATTTGGACAAAAACAACCAGATCCTTGCGGGTTTGATCTTTTTAGATGCGGAAAAAGCTTTTGATCAGTTGAATTGGCAATTTATGTTGAGATTGGTTGAAGAAATGAATTTTGGGGGAAAAATTTTGCAAGCCTTTAGAAGTATTTATCAAAAACAATCAGCGCAACTTATAATTAATGGAGGCTTATCTGAGGTTTTTCAAATTGAGAAGGGCACAAGACAGGGGTGTCCTCTGTCTCCATTGTTGTTTGTTCTAACATTAGAGATTTTGCTGATTAAAATTCGTGAATCATCTAAAATAAAGGGAATAACGATTAATAAGGGAGAATACAAATTAAAAGCTTTTGCAGATGATCTGGTTGTAACTTTGTCTCAACCAGTTGACTCAGTAGTAGAATTGTTGCAGATTATAAACCAGTATGGGCAAGTTTCTGGTTTTAAAGTTAATAACAATAAGACTAAAATTTTAACAAAAAATATGTCTGATTTGGATAAGGAAATGTTAGTTAATTTGACAGGTTTTGAAATTGCAAAAAAGGTAAAATATTTGGGGGTTTATATAACTGCTTCTAATGCAAAACTTTATAAAAATAATTATGAAGTATTATGGCTTAAAATGCAGAAGGATTTGAATGATTGGAAGAAATTGCAATTATCTTTATTAGGGAGAATTGCTGCAGTGAAAATGAATCTTCTGCCTAAATTTCTTTTTTTGTTTCAAATGATACTTATTTTAAAGAATGAGGTAAATTTAGAAGAGTGGCAGAGGGGGATTAATAGATTCATTTGGGCTGGGGAAAAACCAAGAGTCAAACTCAAAATTATTCAAGATGTTCGAGAGAGAGGTGGACTCAAGGTGCCGAATTTAAAATTGTATTATGATGCGGTGGTTTTGACTTTGATTAGTGATTGGGTTAACTTAACAAATTTAGATATACTCTCTGTGGAAGGATGGGATTTATTATTTGAATGGCATGCGTATTTAATTTATAATAAAAAGGTGGATAGGGCCTTTAAGTCCCATGTTTTAAGAATTGCTCTACTGCGTGTCTGGAAGAAATATTATAGGGTAAATTCTAGAATACCATTGTGGGGAATTCCTGGACCCGCTATAGAAGGGATAAGGAAAGGCGTGAAAATGGATAGGATTTCTTATAAGCAATTGATTAAGTGGGAAGGGAATAAGTGGCAATTAAAATCAATGGAGGATTTATTGCAAGAAAACATTATTTATTCTTGGTTTCAGTATAGGCAGTTATTAGAAAGATGGAGTATAGATCAAAAAACGGGTTTTATTGTGGAAGACACCAATTTGGTGAAACAAATCAGAGATCAAAATCGAGCCCATATAAAAAGAGTTTATAATGCTTTGGTGGAATTGGATTCAGAAACAGAATTAGTTAAGGATTGTATGGTTAAGTGGGCTCAAAATTTTGAAGAGCTGATTCTATTAGATACATGGGAGATAATTTGGGTTAGGAATGTTAAGTTTACCCAAGCTCAAAATTTACGAGAAAATTTTTATAAAATGTATTATAGATGGCACCTTGATCCACAAAAGATGTCTCGTATGTATTCTAACTTACTGCCCAAATGTTGGAGATGTGGTTGTATGGATGCAACTTATTATCATATTTGGTGGTCTTGTAGAAATATAAAGGCTTTTTGGATCAAGATTTGGTGGAATATTCAAAAAAATTTTAATAGAAAGATAAAATTCACACCACAATTATTTTTGTTAGGTATTATTGAAGATTGTGATGGTAAAGAGATTATTTTAATGTTGAATTTTATTGCGGCAGCAAGGTTATTGATTGGGCAATATTGGAGAAAAGACTCCTTGCCCACCTTAGAGGAATGGTTTCTTAAAGTTTCTTATGTATCAGAAATGGCCAAAATATCGGCTTATCTGAAAGACCACTCACAAGAGAGATACAACTCTGTATGGAAAAGATGGGTAAATTTTGTTCAGAACAAATATGGGATTAGAAAGTATTATTTAGCTTTTGAATAACTTATTGTATAAAGTTGTTATGTTTAGATTTGTTGATTTTATTGTAATGGAGTTAAAGAGGTTTAAAAACTTTTTAGGATTTATGTATAATTGTTTGATGTTTATTTAATTTTTTATGTTTTTTGTTGTTTTTAGCTCTGTATTCAGCTCTGGGAAGGGGGGAGGGTTAGTGGGAGGGGGGAGGGAGAGAGGTGGGGAGGGATTTTATTGTAAAATGTTTATAAAAATTTCAATTAAAAAAAAAAGAGATGGACAGCCATTTATCTGAAACTGTATAGAGTTTCCTGCTGGTGCAGAGGGTTGGGCTAGAAGACCTCCAAGGTCCCTTCCAACTCTGTTATTCTGACACACAACCTGAAATTGTGTAAAAGGACTCTTAGCTACAACTACCACCTGCTCATTGAACAGAAGGACCTTCCCAGTGGTGTACCGGGTCTGTTTGTGGCAGATAGACCAAAGAAGGCAAGTTCTCAAAATTTGATAGTCCCCAAACACAAGTAATCTGTCTTGTTAAGGCTGAACTGAAGCCCCAAAATATGGGAATTCAGACGTTTGTTTCCAATTCTCATAATTAGTATACACTCTTAAACATATCAGATTCCTTTTCATTGGAACATGGTGTACATGGAAAGATGAATTTTCCTGAATCAGAAAAAAATGCTATGTGAGACTTTCAAGATTTTTTTGCTGCAGTATTCTGACACCTGCCCAGTTTAAACACATGGGTACTTGCACAGAAGGGGAGAGAGAGTTTAAACATCTTAGAATTAATTTCAAGCTGTTCATAAAGTAGGTTTAAAAAAGAAAGAACTAAAAGCAACAATTACAGCAGGTAATTTCTTTTAGGTTTGACTGAAGATGTTGCTGCAAGGAGAGATGACCAGATGGGACATGTAGCAAAGGAAGCCAGAGCCAGACAAACCGTAGTCAAAGGGAAGAAACAGGAAGAAACCTGAGGCAGCTGAAGCCGAAGAAGAATCTGCAAAAAAGAACCAGCAGAGAGAAAATGAAGTTCTGACTTCTAGGAAGGAAGAGAGGGAGGGAGGGAGGGAGGGAGGGAGGGAGGGAAGGAAGGAAGGAAGGAAGGAAGGAAGGAAGGAAGGAAGGAAGGAAGGAAGGAAGGAAGGAAGGAAGGAAAACAGTGAAAGATTTTTATAGTATAAGTACCGTAAAGTGGCAGAAATTTAAATCATTTAGTTAAGTTCTACAAATTAAGAATTAATTTCTAAGAATTAATTTACACTTGGTTACTCTATAAATGTGTTTACAAAATGTATATACACAGTCTTGTAAGTAAACTTTGTCTTATGTTTATACAGTATTAAGCAGCTTTTCTTCTGCTTGCTAGCTGTCTATGTGTGTCTGTGAGCACAGAACAAAACTCAGAATTTCTTACTTATTTCCAGAAAAAGAGTAGTAGAAGAAAAATTAACTGCAAAAAAATTCACTTACTTAGCCACCAGGAAAATATTAGAACTGGAATTATTAGTATTGCGATTAAATGTATTCTACTTCTTGACTGATGACCAGGTTCTTAAAAAACAAATTTGAAAATATTATATTAAAAATAATCCAAAATCAGAAAACATCCTTATGTTCAATATGTCCAGAATTTTAAATTTAGCATTTTTTTGCTGATTTTTTTCAAGTTTTCCAGACAACATATATAAGTATTAATTACATTGCAACAGAATACAACTAGTATCAAAAAATTAAACCAATAATTATTTAGGTATGAACACAATCATGTATAAATATAAAGGAGGGAAAATATGTTGAAATTAAATAATAATAATAGAAGAGACAAACATAAAAACTGAAACGAGGTAATTTAGACAAAGTTAAGGAACCTGTCTCTTACAATCACAGAATTAGAAGGGGCTATTTAGGTGCTGCGTCCTCCTCCTGTCTTCCAGGAATCTAAATTGTTGTACAGGTAGTCCTCAACTTACGATCAAAATTGAGCCCCGAATTTCTGCTATTAAGCGAGACTGTTGTTAAGTGAATTTTGCCTCATTTTATGACCTATCTTGCCACAGTTGTAAAGGGAATCACTGTAGTTGTTAGTAACATAGTTGTTGAATGAATCTGGCTTCCCCATTGACTTTGCTTCTCAGAAGATCACAAAAGGGACCACGTGCACCTGGGGCACTGCAATTGTTATAAATAAATGCCAATTGCTGAGCTTCCAAATTTTGATCATGTGACCATGGGGATGCTAGAATGGTTGTAAATGTGAAAAATGGTCATAAGTCATTTTTTTTCAGTCTTGTTGTAATTTCAAATAGTCACTAAACGAACTGTTGTAATTTGAGGACTACCTGTACTGCAATTTTATTAAGACATCTGCAGTGAATTACTAACCCATCTTCTGGGCCCACTTCAGTTATTCCTCTTGGGTGCTTTGGGTGCTTTACAGCAGTTTCAGCATCCCGCAGTCAAGGGATCACCATTTGTGGCCTTCTCGGTTGGCTTTCGACCAGGAAAGCTAACAGAGGAAGTCACAAATGTCTCATTTAACAGCTGTGATTTGCTTAATGACTGCAGCAAAAAAGGTCATAAAACTGGGTGCAGCCACATGATTAATGACCATACTGTTTAACAATGAATTTTCCAGTATCTATTGTGGTTTTAAGGCAAAGACTATCCATAAACAATCCCAAAACCTACCTTCTGTAATACAGTCACTCAGATTGATGGAGGTGCTGGCGTTTGTATTGGAAGCTGTAACATAGCATATAATTTTCTGAAAATGGTTTGAGTTCCTCTGAAGCTGGATAACTGAATCCTTTACATAGATAATTTCTTCATTTCTGATGTAGTCCCAAGAGTAGGTCAAAGGTAGATCCTGACTTGCTGATGTACAGCTTAATTGAATGGCATCATTGTTAACAGTGCAGTTTATATCAGGCGGTACTGAAGATGCAAGAGAAGGACAAAGTGATAAATAAAATAGAAATTTCAGTTACATGTATAAGGGTTACATGACAATATTTCTATAGCTTCCTTTAAATTGGATTTTTAGCCAAATGCCTCCCCCCACTTCTTAGAACAGGTACTCATTTTCCTATTCAAAATAAAAATGTCTTTCGCCTCTCTCCTAATCAAAGTGTTTTCAAACTTTGACTTATCGGATTGTGTGTATAAAGACTTTCATCATCAGGTAAATAAAATTGTTCATTGCATATTATTTTGTTTTTAATGAACTATTGGGATGGCACCTAAATGTTCAACAGGTAGCTTAATTTAGCTGCACAAATATCTGTTGGGCATTAAAAAAAACAACCATTAGTGAGGGAAACAATTAAAACTTATATGTAAAAAATGTATTCAATAGACTTCTGGCATTTGGTGTAACTACCAAATATATATATATTTTATTGAAGTGTGCATCAAATTTTTTTAGGTTTGATTATTTTTAATAACATTAATTTTATATCACCAAATTAAAGAATGTAATATTGATGTTTGCTATTGATCATACCATAGTGTAATTACCTTGAAATGGGTGTTTCAGAAACCAAATAAGGTCAATACCTGGTAGAAACTGGTATTTCAAAGGCAAAATGCATTTCATTTTAATTATGTCTCTTTTATATTGTTTTATGATTGTATAAATGGGAGACCTCCTGCTGCCATTCTCTTTCTCAGTTGTGAATAAAAACAAAAAAAATGCACTGGTTAAATCTGGCCTTTTTGATCCTGAATTTTGGTGATATAACATTGAAGGATGTTTGCTGCTTCTATGGATAATCAGCTGAACTGTTGAATTATGATATAGAAATCAATAGAGACATTCTAGATCAGGCATGTCAAACTTGCGACATCACGTGACTTTGTGTGACATATTGCAACTTTTTCCCCATTGCCGGAAAATGGGGTAGATGTAATTTTGGCGTGATGCATCCAGCCTGCAGGCCGGCAGTTTGACATGCCTGTTCTGCAGGCCGGCAGTTTGACATGCCTGTGACTGGACTTACAGCAACTGAACATCCCTTCCCCCATAAAGTGTGATGACTCCCCCAGATGCTTCCCCAGATGCCTCTCTGGATGTTAATTGGGAGGATGATGAACCAATCCCAGGTATGTCAGGAGGGGAATCAGCTGATGGCTCTGAGGTAAGTGTTGCAAGTCCAAGCAAGGTGGAGCAGTTGATGAATAGGCGGCTAGAGAGAGCTGGCTGAAGCACAGCTGCAGCAGAACAGCCGTAAGACTTCAGGTGGGGAAAGCATGCAGGTACAGCAGGTCAGAAATGAGGAAGAAGAACTGCCTTCTGCACCTGGCCCAAAAAGACAGGAGCAGCGAAGGTTATCCCGATTACTGGCAAGGAGGCAGCCTCGTCCCTCTTGATAGTATGCACCAGAAGCTGACTATTTAGCACAGCAGACAGATGGAGATAATGTTGGGAACAATATATTCATTTCCTAGCTGTGTGTCTCCTGATCATTGCGATTCCTGCCTTGCTTTGGACTGACACTGTGCCTTGACTTTGGACCATGCCTTATGGACTCTTGCCTCCTGGACTCTCTTGTATTGCAGATTTAATTTAATCTGCCTGGTGTATTTATCTTGTTTGGGAACTTTTGAGTGCCTTGTGGACTCATTGGCCATTGCTCTGTGGACTAGCATTGGTTTATTTTTAGCTGTTCTGGGAATTGCTGGAGAATAAAATTGTCAGAATCCAATTATATTTCATCTCTAGTTATCGACTATGGAAAACCCCATTTCTGCCCTCTCTGGATTCTGTCATACGATGAAGGGGAAGGGGGGTGAACAAAGGGGTTTTATGGCCCTCACTTCCTTCGGTACAACTTCAAAAGGGACTGAATGTGGATACCACCAAAAGGACTAACCATAACAATGGGGCCATCAGCTTTCATCTACTTCCCTCTGAAGTCTCCCTTCCACCAGCAGTGAGGAAAAAAGGGGTGGAAATGTAATGCCTGGGATTGTCACTGGAAGGATGGTGGGGTGAGGTGGGGTTGCTGGGAACCCCTTAAAACCTTGAACCATAGGGCTGGACCCCCAAGTCCTATCTAGAACGCCTGCAACCATTTTCTCTTAATAAAGATGCCTATTGGAAGAAATATTCCAAGAGTTCTGTCTTCTTAAGATGCAAAGTGCGGTGGGTCCTCCCAAAAACCACTAAACCACCATCATGTGTGCATGTGAGTGAGCACACAGCACATAAAGACTTGACCAAAATTTCTGTTTTAATTATATTGGGTTTTACAATTATGCCAAATATTCATTTTTATAGTTATAAAGTCTATTAATACCATTATATTACAACAGTACAGAATATGGCATGTTACTTTACACTGTGATAATATAAGCATTAATGTAATGTTAATTTAAAATGAAAATAGAACTTTTCTGCCTCTTTAGTATATGACTTAGTGTACTGCTACTTACCTAGTATTTTCAGATCAAAACATGTTTCTTTGATTTCCTCATTAATGAAAGCTTCTGCTGTGTAATTTCCAGTATCCTCTTTTGAAAGATTTTTGAGAAACAAATTGCCAGAGGAAGAATCAAGACTCAGTCTTTGATTTTCCTTTCCAGGAGGAAAACTGAATCTGGATTTAGCCACTATATTTTCTCCTTTCTTCCAATAAATTCTTGTTAGATTGCCTTTAACTGATGGTGACAAAACAATGTCTTCTCCTTCAACACCAACTATGAATTTATGATTACTGCAATCTACAATCAAAGAAATAGAAAAATAGAAAATAAGCTGCCTGTAATAATCAGCTACATCATATCTATCACATTATGCTTTTAGGTTAAGCATATTGTAAAAATACAAAAAGGGAGTAAGAAGTTGTGCATTGACATGTGCGAGTCTGTGCGCTTACATATAATAGATGAGCAGTCCAGAAATTGTAATATGAAGCTGATGAGGTACTAAGAAGAGTCAGGTCTGAATACAGAATTTCAGCAGGGTAGGTCACTTCCAATGGCTTTAAATCCTGAAGATGGGAAGTTACTGAAAAGACAATAGTTGCCTAATTTTGATAAGAGGTTAAAATGGAAGGAAGATACAAAGGCCATCATGGATACAGACAGAACTCTGGAACACTAAACATAAAAAGGGACAAAAATAAGAAGTAGGAGAAGGAGCACACAGTCTCTTAGAAGATATAGACCTGTATCAGAAAGACAGTATTCAGGGTGCAAAAACGTGATGATTAGAAGGCAGAGCTTCATAACTCCTGTTTTGCACCTAAGTCCTTATAGAAGGGAAACAGAACTTTAACTGTGGAAACAGAGACCCGCAGTGTCCCTGTTTCTCAGAATGGATCAATTAAAACACAGCACCCAAAGCCCTTCTTGTGAATTGGATCTATTTGTTTTCTTTGTTCTTTATGTAGAAAAATATTTGTTTATGAATTTGATTCTTTTAAGTAGATAGCAATGCCAACTATGATCAGCTAATGGATACAAACAGAGCTTCAGCTACCCCAATTCTGTTATCAGCATTCAAAGGATTATTGTCAGGCTAAGCCCAAAGAGACACAGTGAGATCCAATCCAATCCAATCCAATTCTTTATTTGCTTAGACACTTAATAGACAGAATCTTGCCAGACTAAAGCTATAACTATCTAACCTAGTAGATATACCCTGGAAGATTCTAGAGCATGGATACCCTGAACCTTTTCCTTCCTCCCTCATCCAGTTCAGGACTGTGCATTCTCCTGTCTTGGCCCCTTCTCTTTAAAGCATTGCGTCTCTCTGTGAAGCCCTGAGGCTACTAGTGGCATTCCTCCCTTCTCCCCACTCCTTCAGCTGCAAATTCCATCACAATGATAGCAATAGCAATAGCACTTAGAACAGCGGTTCTCAACCTGTGGGTCGGGACTCCATCTGGGGTCGAACGACCATTTCACGGGGGTCGCCAAACAATGCAGTCCGCCACTTTTTTCCCATTTTCCTTAGCTGTGCTACTCCCTTTTATTCTATTGGCTTTTGAAAGCCAATAGAATAGACTCTCTTGAATAGAGTCTAATTCTATTGGCTTTCAAAAGCCAATAGGAATTGTCCAGGCTGTCTCTGCCCTGCTGAGCCCGCCAAAAGTCCCATTCTGCAAACGGTGCTGCACCAGTTGAGTAGTCCTCGACTTACGACCAGTTGAGTAGTCCTCGACTTACGACCGGTTGGGGGTCGCGGCATTAAAAAGGTTGAGAACCACTGACTTAGACAGTTTAGCTAAGACTGAAGGAGGAGTTGGCTTGGACAAGTCAACAGCATGAAATTTGAAAGGGAAAACAGAACCCAGCAGTCTCAATATTCCTACAGAGATACTGAAAGTCTAAGCCAACCAACAGCTGATAAGATACCTTCCTTTCCTGTCCCCTGGCCCCTCCCAGTGCAAACTGAGAAACTGATTGAAACTGGGTTTGCCAATGTTTCTGGCAGCAGTTCAGTGTAGCTGGCAGCATCAGAAGCCAATTAAGGTTTTTATAAATTCAGGCAAGAAAGGACAACAGAAAAGTCCATAGGATTGTTTAGGAACTAGATCAACACAGAGGAATAGACATAGACATTAGTGTTAAGTGTAGCACAGGTTTAGTATTTAGTTTAAAGCTCTTTAAATCTAGAGATTAGGATTTTTATTATAATAAAAATCTCTCTAGAAATACAGGGAAGATGACAACAGTCGCTCTGCTAGTGTTCCATTTCTCAAAAGAGTCCTTTTGCAGTAACTGTTACTAAATTCTCCAAATCAAGGCCTTCAGATAAGTTTCAGCTGGCAATCTCTACCAGCTACACAGGCTTAATCTTCCTTCTGATGTCTTTAGACAATCTCCCTACTCTCCTTATCTCGGCCTGGGAGACAATCCCAGGCCATATCATTCTTCTCTTTGTGTACCAGTTACTAGGTCAACTCCCTTACATTAATTCTGAATCATGCATCTCTTCTAGTTTAGTCTCTAGCCCCTAGCCCATTTCAAAGTATATTTTGTAACTACTCTCTTCATATGAGAGGCTCTCTATAAAACTTTCTGTCAGCTATTTCTCAAACTCAAATTATCAGCAAGAAAGTACAGTTTGTAAGTCTTGGTGGTTACATAACAGGGTAGCAGGTATCAGTTTTCCATTTTCTCACATAGCCCTTCTTTTGGGAAGGGTGGGGTGTGCTCTCCAAATCTTCCATTGGATTCATTGATTCCTGTTTTGCAGATAGCAATCTCTGAATCATTTTCATATCTAAACAGATAACCATCCATTTTTGTTGTTTCCTGACTGATTTACAAAGTTTGAATTACAAACTTGTATGGCTATAGTGTGAGATATCACTGGGTGAGTCTTCAGTTAGTGACTTTAATTTTTTCAAGATAAAGTAATGGTTGGTAATCTATGCCTAAAGTAATTTACAATCCCATCATTTTTTAAATAGACACACATGAATCAAAATTCACTTTAAAACTTTCCACCTCCTGCTCCAGAACATAGGCCTTCTTTTCTGAATACATTTTTTATTTAAGTAAGAGCTTTAAAAAAAAATTGAATACCCTCCATCTCTAAGTGTGGTAACAGGTTTGCTCCTAATTCCCCATCAGATACATTTAAAAAATGGAAGATTAAAGTACGGAGCTCTTAACACAAGCTGACTACACAAAACAATTTTTAAACTCTTAGAAGGCTTTTTGGCATTCAGGAATCCAATGAAGCTTCAGAGGTTTACTCTTCTTAATTAAGAATTTGAAAACTTTTTCTTTAGTGGAAAAATCAGATATAAACCATCCACAATAACTTAAGAATCATTTTACATTTTTCTTTGTCATTAGAGTTCAATCTATTGATTAGCTTGCACCTTTTCTCTTCTAGTTAAATTACTTGTTGACCAATTACATAGCTGAAATATTGCAGTTCAGAATAATCTAGAGGACATTTGGCTGAACTGATGAGTTCTTCTTCGAAACTGGAAATGAGATGACATTATTTAATTGCTACAAATGTTCCTTATGGATAATCCTGTAAATTGCAACATCATTCAGATAAGCTTTATAGTACATTCAGAATAACAGAATTGGAAGAGATCTTGGAGGTCTTCTAGTCCAAGGCTTTTCAACCTTTTCACCCATTGTACCACTTTTAGGATATGGCAACATCCAGTACCACCAGTCGCCTAACAAGGTGTCAAAAACTTGATGACCCCCCCCAAAAAAAGGGAAAAAAAGTGATAAAGTACAGGTAGTCCTCGACTTACAACAGTCCACTTAGTGACTGTTCAAAGTTACAATGGCACTGAAAAAAGTGCCCCACAAGCCACAGCTGAGCAAGACAGCGCCCGGCAGTGCTCTTCCTCCTGTCAAGGTTTTCATTGTTGTAAGCATTTCTGTTGAGGATTAGCAGCGGGGGTGGGGTGGGGGAGTGTTTGGTTTTTATTCCCCCTGTCTGCTGGGTGGTTGCAGTAGATTTTGGTCACTTCACATGACCCTGGGGCACTGTGACCATCATAAATATGAATCAGTTGCCAAGCATCTGAATGTAAATCACAAGACCCTGGAGATGCTGCAACATTCTAGCTGATTGGCGCTACTTCTGGGCTCAGCAGAAGCGTCAGGATCAGTGCTGCTTTCCAGCTGATGGTGCTTCTTCAGGGCTCAGAAGCACCAGGATCAGCGCCGAGCTCCAGCTGGAGCCTGGCGTTGATCCTGGCACTTCCACTGAGCCCTGACAGCCCCGAAGAAGCACCAATCAGCTGGAAAGTGGCACTGATCCTGGTGCTTCCGCTGAGCCCTGATAGCCCTGCAGCTCCAGTCATCTCTCGCTCAGGCTTATGCGGTGCTAGCACCGGTTCAGCTCATTCCCCTCCCCCGCTACTTTTCTAGGATGGTCGCGTACCACCTGCCAGGTGCCAATGTACCACAGGTGGTACCCGTACCACTGGTTGAAAAGCCCTGTTCTAGTCCAACCCCATGCTCAAGCAGGCAACTTTATACCATTTCAGACAACTGACTGTCCAATCTCTTCTTAAAAGCCTCCAGTGATGGAGCACCCACAACTTCTGAAGGCAACTTGTTCCACTGATTAATTGTCCTCACTGTCAGGAAATTTTTCCTTATTTCTAGTTGGTTCTCTCTTTGATTAGCTTCCATCCACTGCTTCCATCCACTGCTTCTTGTCCTGCCTTCAGGTGCTTTGGAGAATAGATTGACCCCCTCTTCTTTGTGGCAGCCCCTTAGATATTGGAACACTGCTATCATATCACCCCTAGTCCTTCTTTTCATTAAACTAGACATATCCAATTCCTACAACAGTTCTTTATATGTTTTAGCCTCCAGTCCCCTAATAATCTTTGTTACACTTCTCTGCACTCTTTCCACAGCTTCAACATTTTTTATAATGTGGTGACCAAAAGTGGATGCAGTATTCCAAGTGTGGTCTTACTAGGGCTTTGTAAAGTAGTATTAATATTTCATGTGATCTTGATTCTGTCCCTCTAGTAATGGCTTTTTTGGCGGCTGCTGCACACTGCTGCAATTCTGCCTAGAAGAACTTTGTCCATAATTTCTAAAAGGCTGTTGGTGCACCATGACAATCAAGTTATTTTTCTAGACAACTATTTGAGTTGTTGCAAAGGCTGTCTTTTACTCAGAATTCCTTTCCAGAGATATTCAGTATCTCATATTTGCATTTGGTTATGCCCTTGAATAGGTATTTCATATACCTACAGTAGATCATCTACTGTAGG